GATCGCGATAGCTTCACTTTTGTTAGCGGGTGCCGGAAACGAGAAGGTTCTGTGGGGTGGCCCAAGACAGGGGGTGGCCCAACTCGGGGTGGGTCGACTTACCAGTTTTGTCCGACCAGGATCGTTTGGGCACTCGGGCCCTCCACCACCCAAAGGAGCAATGGAGTGACAATGTCGTGGTTGCACAATCGAGGAGGACAAAATGTCGAACCTCGACGACGTTGTCATCACCCAATCGCACTGACTACGGGCACGCAGCCTCGCGGAGTGGGGTCTCCAACACGTTAACTCGATCCTCCGTCCAGCATGGCATACGTTTTGTGGTCATGGCCGAGTCGGACTCTCACATACAACAAATGAGGTGGGCCAACCTCATCAGACATGAGTGAGATGCCTGGGGTCCTGACAGCGTCAGCCCTGGCCGCCTTGCAGGTCGCCCGCGGATTCCTTATATAAGAATCGAGGGTCGGTGACGCCTGCATGACGTAGCCAGGCGTCACTCCGGGACGTCCTGCCGGAGTGGGCACCTGTTCCATCAGGGCATGCACAGCTCGAGGATCACCCGAAGACTTCTTCACCCTCTTCATGCCTCCGAGCAGGTCGGAGCAGATATGGGGTGATTAGTTGAGCAATTCCATAGCGGTGGTCGTGACGGGTGTCTCGCTCAAGATCTTCAGGATATCGATCGGTTGGTTCCCACATGCTATCAAGCCCTAGTCTAAATGGGGCGAAGGCGTTGAGTTTTTCGATCATTCGTGCGCTTGCCAGCTCGCTTCCGAATTATCTTCTGCAGGTCTCTCGGGTCGACATGGTCCCATGACCTGGCAAGGTCATCGATCTCTCCAGCGGTGAGGCGGCGACGAATACGGTCGTCACCTGGTGGGGGAGGTATAATTGCATCTGCCATAGGAGGATCTCCTCGCACGGGGTCGAAGGGCAATGTTCTCAGGGGAGGATGGGGCGCTTCCCGAGGCGGACGCCTCAGGGGGTCTTGTCGGGCTGAAGGCGGCTGTGTCCTGACCGCCGGATGGTGCTGCGCTGCTGTCAAGGTCCACTCGCCCCCAGTGCCTCCAACGCCGGCTCGACCGGCCTCTCCGCTCTGGCCACGCTCACTCGTGGTCGCGGCAGCGCGGCTCCCAGTGCGCGCCAGGGCTTTTCCGCCTTCAGCAACTTGCCCGATCCCGTGGCGGGGGATCACTTAACTATGGCGACGACGATAACGACGCTGCCGTTGGTGCCCGGGGCAAGCAGGGCCGGGCCGTTGCCCGTCGTATCGACACCAGCGGCGCCGGCGCTGAGCGTACGGAGGCCTGCTTCCGCTACCTCTCTTAAAAGGAGCCGTGCTTTAGCCAAACTCAGCGGGGCCGGGCCGCCTAGTTCCAACTCCTCCACCCTGTTAATGCCGCGCCGGATCGCGCGCATCATCTTTTCGAGCCACGTCCGTTTCTGTTTGCGCAAACGGAGCACTTTCTCCTCTGCCTCCTCAAGCTCGACTAACCCAAAACGTCGCACCCTGATCGATCAGCACGCAGGCATTCCACACACCGAGACGAGTTTTGAGAAGAGGCGGCGCACGAAGACCGGCCAAAGGACTCACAGTAGGAGCAGGGAGGCGTTCCGGTAGCAGAAAGGAGAACGGCCGCAATAAGCTCCTTACGGCGGAAAGTCTTTGGGGCCGGACGAGGTTTTTGCACCCGACCTCGTCAAGTGGGCTGGATGGAGTGATGAACACAACACATGGGAAAACGAGACAAACTTTGGGAACTGCCAGGAGGCTTTACAGGAGTATCGGCAGAGACACCTGCAGGAAAGTTAGCAGGCCCAGGAGGGAGGGAGCCTGTGAGACGCTGCAGATTCCTGGAACTCTGTAGGCAAAGACACCAGGACAGAATAACAGATCCAAGGAATCGGTTGACAGGCTCACCGGGACCAAGTAAGGCAGAAGGTTCTGCGTTGAAAGGTTACGAAAAAAAAAGAAATAGCTCCTCCTCAACACAAGGACCGCGGTGCGATTCTCATATTGAGAAGAATGGTCGTACCAGTAATCGAATCTGGGACCTCCAGCTCAAAGAGCCAGTGCGCTACCACTGCGCCATACGACCTAGGAAGCCGTTGGGGGAATCACAACTTACCGGGTTGAAGAAGGGCAAGCAGGTTTAGATTTGGATTAACCCCAGGATCTGCCTTACCCAAGGATAACGGTGAAAGCCCGGAAGCGGATAAAGAGAGTGGGTCAGGGGCCGCCTGAATGGCCACCTGCTCGGCCTCCTCGCGCTTAACCCGCACCAATTCCTCGACACTATCGATACCGCGCCGGACCGCGCGGATCACCTTATCCAGCCACATCCGTTTTTGCTTCTGCAAACGAAGCACCTTCTCTTTTGCTGCTACGAGCTTAGCTTCCAGCTTGTTGTGCTGGTCTACCATACTCCGGTGCTTAAAAGAAGAAGGGCCAAGCACGTCACAGCTTAAACGGTTCATACACAGGCACTTCACATACCGAAAGGAGTTTTTTTTTTTTTTGGGGGAGGGGGGAGGGGACAAAAAGACCGACCGAAGGGCTCGCAGTACGAGCAGGAGGGCATTTCGGTAGCAGAAAAAAGAATAACCGATAAAAGCTTTTTGCGACGAAAGGTTTTTCACCGTTGGCAGTAGGCGAGGCAAGGCCGGAGAGCCAAAGGTTGGGTACGGCCTGACAGGAGGCCACCTCGCCCCGCCAGGTTACGTGACACCAGACGGATTTGTGGATTTGTAATAGAGCAATAGATCTAAAGGGATTCGTGGATTTGTAGCAGAGCAACAGATTCAAGGGGATCTGTCGGCCAGCCACAAAGCTAGGAGAAAGAAGCCAAGGCCGAGACAGGTATATAGAGGAGGATTTCCCTCCTGTCTTAGATAGCTTTGGCTGAGGCACTGGCATCAGTTAACTTAAGTTAGCTTCAAAGTACCCCTTTAAGAAAACATTCAGACCTGCACCCAAATTACCCAAGTGTTCCCCCTATCCCAAACCAGATACTGCAAACTGTTCACCTCCCTAAATGTCCTACCTTAGGAGCAGAAGACCTGTTTGTAATCGAGAGATGCCCCTAACACTATTAAAATGGGCTATAAAAGGTTAGCGCGGCTGTTAAAACCAGGAGAGTTTATAGGTGTGACTTGAAGACGACGTGTCCTACGGGCCAAAAAAAAAACCAAGAAACGTTTGTACATAAATATCCGCTCCGCTAGCTATGTTTACCCCATCCTGCTCCGCCTTGTCCTTTTCCGCTCCGCCATCACCTTCCGCTTTTACAAGCCCGCGCATCGTCCAAATCCGCGGCGCCCCTTTCGCCCATGCCACACTCCCCCAGCGCCTCTTGATATAACGCTACGCAGCTGTGCACTGCTAATTCATGCCCGCCCGCCGGAACCCGATTATAATGGTGTCGAGCTCGCACACGGCGTTACAGTAGATCTCGTTCTGCATTGAGTTCTTCGAGCGGCCCCTTTTGCGGAAGTTATAGTTGATCAAATGGTCCGTTAGCTCTGGGTACTGGCGGTTGAGGCC